TTACAAAGCTCCAGAACTGATGGGTCTGAATTGAACTTGAGTATTTAAAGATGACCATGTTTAACATTTATATGTTATATGTATAACACAAAATATGTAAGCAATGTTATACTCTGCATAATAACAGCAAAGAAAATGAATATAAAATAACTATCAGAAAACAACAGCTAAAAGAAATGACTAGAGCACACTAGAGAGAACAGAAGTGAGCAAGAGAACAGAACAGAACATTCTGATGATTAAATATTTAAAGATTGTTACATCAAGCATATTAACAGCAGCCCTGCGTTCAGATCTGGAGAGGTTAAAGGTCAGGTCTGAGTGTTTGCAGCAGAGGTTAGAAGCCGTATAAGGTGTCAGGAGCCACATCACTTCAGCATACAGCTGTAAACTGACCCACAATCCCCTGCAACCACACACACACACAGTCTCAGAGGAAGCTCTTCTCCAGATCCTGGGCTGAAATAGTCCTCAGAGGCGGCGGTCTGGACCGAGAGAGCGAGTGAAAGGGAGACGCGCGCTGAGGAGGTGAAAGAGGAGGAGGGAGCGTGATTATTGAAGGAGTATCAGAAAGAGAGCCATAACTCCTTCCTCCTTTCTCCATCCTCTGCTGCATCCATCCCTCCATCACATACCCAGAAAACACCGACGAGGACGAGCTGCTCAGATCCAGAGCGATATCTGACAGACAGAAGCAGAGCGAGTACAAAACCCCGTCATGTGTGTGTGATATTATAGTTTCATGAATCTATCTGGAGCTACTTAAAAGAATAACCACACAACTTTTAAGCGAATTACTCGTTTTCAAATTAGATGAAACATTTTATTAGGCCATGCAATACAGAATGAATTAAAAGCACATTTATTATAGTTTATAATCACTTAAGTTCTTGGATATTTTTCAAGCATTTATTGCAATGCCTTCTGGGATTGTGAGGGATGAATGCTGCTGTTTATTTTGCGAGCACCTGATTCATGCAGCTGAGTGTGTGAGTAAATGTTTTTGGTGTAGAACTGGTTGTAGATGCAGTAAACCACAGCCATCAGCGTCAGAGTTCCTGCAGCGGCAGCGATGAACACACCCAGCTTATTGTTGTTCTTCATCATATGAACATCTGTCAGTGTAAAACAAACACACACAGCTCACAGGTCAGTAAAGCTTCAAATGAATTCATTATAGGAACAGCATCTATATTCTATCATGTTCTGGGAGACAAAACTCTAAATAAAATAAAATAACTATTAATAAATATAAATAAAATAAAATAATAATATATATATATATATGGAAAGAAACTACTAATAAATGCTACTAATAAAATACAATTAAATAAAAATATAAAAATCTTCATCTTAACCCAACAAGTCTTAAAATAAATATATCATAGGAACAGCACAGAAATGAACACAACAGAAAATACCAGAGAAGATAAATTAATAAAATAGCAAATAGTTGGCATCATAATCAGCTGTTGTGCGTGCGCATATGTATGTGTGTGTGTGTGTGTGTGTGTGTGTGTGTGTGTGTGTGTGTGTGTGTGTGTGTGTGTGTGTGTGTGTGTGTGTGTGTGTGTGTGTGTGTTTGTGGTGTGTTTGTGTGGGGC